AATTCTGAGAAGAGTGGTGGCGGACACTTTCTCTCTTTGAAACTTAGGAAGTCCGGCGGATTCAAAGAAAGTTACGCGAGTCTATTTATGACAATTAAGACACGTGGCATCGCGATGAACAGATTGTCAGTTATTTATTCGGAATTTATCGAGGGCCAGTTTCACAAACGTCGGCAGACGACTCCCTACCTTTTTCTATCTCATTATCCAAGAAGAGACAGAGAATTAATTAACCTTTGGTTAACTGACGTTTGTGAAACTGGCCCTGAGTGTTTCCTGCGCTCTCTCCTCTCGAATTGATTCTTCGTTATTTAGAATAGTCTGATACTCACAATCAGTTGCTACGCTAAATTTGACGTAATAAATTTCGCTCATTATCTAAGAAGAGACGGAGAATTAATTAACCTTTGGTTAGCAGTTAACTGACGTTTGTGAAACTGGTCCTGAGTGTTTCCTGCGCTCTCTCCTCTCGAATTGATTCTTCGTTATTTAGAATAATCTGATACTCACAATCAGTTGCTACGTTAAATTTGACGTAATAAATTTCGCTCATTATCTAAGAAGAGACGGAGAATTAATTAACCTTTGGTTAACTGACGTTTGTGAAACTGGCCCTGAGTGTTTCCTGCGCTGTTTCTCCTCTCAAATTAATTCTTCGTTATTTAAAATAGTCTGACACTCAGTTGCTCAGCTACGTTAAATTTTACGTAATAAATCTCGCTGGTACAAGAAGGCAAACAGTATCGCCACGATGAGAATTCGGCAGTATCGGGCGAAGATGCAGCGGGACGCATTCGGATCGATGCAGAGAGAGGATACCGCATCACGTAAGCGAGATTGGTCGGATCCGGTAGCTCGTTCGTGACCCGGGCCAGCTGTGACCTTGGCCCGTATTTCGGAGATGCAGCTGCGCGCGTGGCGCTATGAGCACACCCGAATGTATCCACCCGCACGTACGTCGCCAGGGAGTGGTATCGCGCTAATTATGGCATAATTCGCATCGAGAAAGTTGCGATTAACGAAAAATTTTTAAGACGAAGCGAATTTTGTAAAAGAAAAAATAAAAAATAAAAAACAACGCACGAACGAATAGTCCACGATCATTTCCAGAAATGTACGGCCGTAAATAAGTGACAACAAGAGCCCGGCCGTCGATAAATTACGCTAAAGCTTTTACGATGTACCCACGACCTACGTAGCCGGGCAACAGGATGCGGCATCCTCGGACACGCTCGAGTAATTAAAAACGCACGTTGGCGGATGTGTCGCGAGCATCCGTCGCGATACGGAGCGCCGCGCAACAAAAATGCATCTGCATTTCGCGCTGCGCTCGGCGCGGGGTATCGACGAGACGTGTTCGGCGAACTATGCGAGTGAAAAAGCGAGCAAGAAATCCCGCTCGCGGGTAACTTCCCGTGCCGTAACGCGCGCACGTCAAACGGAGCCGCGGGAAAACAAAGACGAGTTCGCCAATCAACGCCCGGAATTGTTCCAATCAAACGGGATAAAAATTACAGTCCGCCGAGTACGGGCGAGCTTTGTTTCCTTCGTGATATTTCCCTCTTGTGCCCCGCGCGAATTGTTTCACCGTGACGTCTCGCGTGAAACTCGCTGCCTCGAGATGACAGACTGGTCGAAGAGAAAGATCGTTTTTTCCCCCCTCTGACGATGGGACGTTGATTAAGTTCGATTAACGCGCACGGGGAAAGAGGTTTCTTTGGATTTGGTATTTCTATTTATTAGGTTGAAATTTGTTTCGTTGAAACAACATACGCTCACACGAAACATTATTTGTTTGATCAAGAATTATTTGACGGCAGTAAACGACTAACAATGATCAAGCTTCTAATCGACCATCACTGGCGATGTGTTTCTAACACAGAAAACTTGTTGCGAAAAATATTACCTCAGCCAGGGTTTGAACCTAGACCTCTCTACACTCTAGGCGGGCGTCTCACCAATTCCACCACCGAGGCATATGCCTAATTCTTGATGTTATTTATACACCTAGACCGAATAATGGTGTCCAAGTGGGGGGGAGGAAAGGGAACGGGGATACTTAAAAATCGCGTTTTGAAAGTGCTGTGTACAACCGACAACCCGTATCGGTGCGCAGTTCACAAGTTAAAAATATACACGTAGGCAACATCTATGCTGTTATTGCGACAAATATTGTCATGTGCCTCGGTGGTTGAATTGGTGAGACGCTCGAGGGAAAATTATAATATAATGTAGACGGAGAAAGATGTATATTTTTTTCACATCTTTTCTATCAAACGATAATGTTTGAGTAAAACAATAATATCATTTAGACCAAAGAGAATGTACCTCTTATTTCAGACAAATATTTTATTTCAGACGAAGATATATAATATATTATTTCAAATTTAAAGAAATAATTTGTTTGACCCATTCCAAATATCAAGTTTGTTTGACCGCAACAAAATTTATTAGATCCAGAGAAATCATTTTCTCTGTGTGCGAGTCTCAGAGCGCGTCGCGATTTTCAATCGCGTAGCGAACGCGACGGACCCTTCCTCGATAATCACTGCGCACCGGGCGTTATCCCGGAATCATTAATTAGCAAATGAAAAAGGAACGCTGAATGCGAGACTCGAATTCAGAAAATAACGCGAGCGGCAGAGTCCATGTGCAACTCGGGAAACTGAATAAATGGACAGCGGGCTGTGCACAGGTGCGCGAAACTTTCGCGGCGGCTGGTCGGCGTAATGAAATATTCCATTCATGGTAATGTTTTACTGCGGAATGAGTTCGAGCAGACCGGCGCGGACAGTCAGGGGCACAATTAGGGTAAGGTGACCAAGTTCGGATCAGACACCAAGTGCGCGGATCAACAATTCGACGAGTCGCTAATAAGCGACATAAAAGTACGTCGATGCCTTCTATGACAATTTTAAAGTAGCGTGCAAGAAATAACTAGGGTAAGGTGACCAAATTAGGATCAGATGCGGATCAAAAATTGGATGAGTTGCATTTACATATTTACAACCTTATGCTATATCGACAATATGGCATAAGATTGTAAATATGTAAATGCGACCCATCCAATTTTTGATCCGCATCTGATCCGAATTTGGTCACCTTACCCTGGTTATTTCTCGCGCGCTACTTTAAAATCTGTTCCTCTCGATCCAAGTTGCACTTTGACTGATCTCTTTCACGTGGCCGTATCTCGATTTTAAACAATTTCCGGTTTTTCTGTTCAAACGCTCATTTTGGTGCTGATTGAGTGTTTAAGCGGAAAAACCGAAAATTGCGCTAAAATCTGCTTAAACACTCATTTAGGACCAAAATGAGCGTTTAAACAGAAAAACCGAAAATTGCGTAAAATCGAGATACGACCTTGCGAAAGTCGATCATCTACGTCCGACAGAAGATAATCAGTGGAATTATTTGAGCAGCACATAGAAGATTAGGCTAGATCAGATTGAATTTGTTATGCGTGTGATAGAAACGAAATCTTACCGAAAAAGTACAATGTATATATTATATATACGATATTTTTAAATCTCCACGGTTAATATAATATAGTATATTGAATTCTCTTCAACAAAACTAAAGGACTGTTTTGAATGGATCGCAAAAGTGAGAAAAACCGTGTAGTTTTCCGCGTAAAAATGGAATGTTGTGTAAATGTAACTTCTGCAGAATATCCCTCCGGCATTGTAAAAACTTTTAGAGAAGAATTTTAGAAGTAACTTGGACCTTTTCATTATTTTTCGCAATTTACCTTCAACGTTACATATTTTCATAATTAAGCCTGAAATTCAAATTATGTGTGCAAGTTTATTTAAAATTATTACAGTATACATGGATATGTCTATTCACTGTCTGTTAAATTTTGATTTATAAAAAGATTTTTAATTATTCAAAAACCATTAGTGCGCAAGTGCCTGTATACTTATAAGAGAAAACGCGCGTAATTCTATATTATTAAAAAAAAATTATTTTGACGAGACTTCATGGTAAAGATAGGATATTACCAGCTTTTGCCATTTTGCGATCATATTAAAACTGAGTAAAACAATCCCCTATAATATTACTTTTAAAACTGAACTGTTAAAAATATCGTAAAAAATATCACAAAGCGATACAAAAAAAAATGGAATCGAATGAATACGAGAGCAAGGATGCGCGTATGACGAAACGCATCTTCAGAATACGGTGGAAGATTTCGAGAGATAATTTGACATCGATCCAAGTTCGTTCCCGCTTCGTCTAATCCCCTATTCCGCTCGCGCGATGTTCAGTGACGACCTTAACCCGGACAGTCCCGGGTACATTGGCAATGTTGGAGCCTCGTCCGCGCACTAGTATTCGAGAGGGGTTAACAACGAACGGACAGGTCAATAGGAGGAGCCGAACTGGCGTGAGTAAGCCTCCAGCAGAGGTACATAATGTGTCCGGACCAATCCCACCTCCATGGCATAGTCGGGCCAATTCGATAAGCCCTTAATCCATCGGCAATTAGCTCGTGCGCACCGGCCCTACCGCAAGCTCTTTACCCTCCACCGATTCGCGTTGCCCCGTCGACCCCTCGGAAACACCCCGTCCGATACAGTTTATCCGTTTCACTCGGTTTACTTTTGAAATTAGTACCACGTTTCGCGCGAATGACCAACGGGAACCAAAGTTCGATAAACACCCCCCGACGGGAACAAACGGCCCCGATACTTCTTTGGCATATTTACGTTTTTTGAATTCGCAGGCTCGCGTTATATCGTGAAAAACGGCGTATAAAACGAGCCCCGCTCGTGCAACGCGCGACGCGGTATTAAATGAAATCACGTACGAGCGAACGGGAGGCTGTGGGAGAGGGCGAGCCACGGTGCATCCCGAAAGTATCGGACGTGCCTGGCGAATGCGCCCCGTTTTATGCCCGCGAGAGGGAAACGGTGGCCGCGACGCAATCTTCCTAAAAGGGCCGCTAGATGTTGACCAAAAGCGGCCCCGACTCGCGTCGAGTCCCATAAAGAATAGCGAGAGATGGAAGAGAGAGAGAGAGAGACTCACCGTGAGACATCCTCCTGGGAAACAGCTCGTGGGGTCCCGGTGCCGTGCAGAGCGAGAGAGGACGCGTGGCGCGACTCTTGCGAGTACGGTAGAGCAGCGGTGTTGTTTTCCATCGCGGACACGGAGCCGTTTTGTTTACCTGTCAAACAAAAAATTAGGAACATCGTCCATTAGTCTACACGTGGGGAGAGGGGGGGAATCATCAGCAGATCTCGCCGACGTTTTCTAGCTTTGATTACGTCGTAATCAACGATGTCAAATTTATCCGATGTACTAACAGCGAATTCGATTGCTTGCACTAGTGCGCACTGGGTGCACACTAAGGCCTGTTTATAGTCAATTTTTATATTCAACTTTGTCTTCAAAATACACGTTCAAAAAGTATTTAGCCAAAAAATGATCCGCATGGATGCTGATCATTTTACCGACTACGAAATGTTTCAAGAGATATTTAAGGCGATCCTTAAATATAAGAATTGACTGTAAACAAGCCTTAGTGTGCACTCATTGTCAGACGTTTGCCTAGCTGCCCCCCCTACTTTATCAAAATTAAATGAAAAAATTCTCAGATAACGCGCTATTTACGCGCTTTATAAGTCCACAAGAAAAAAATTTTGCGCTCGTTTCGTTTAGCCAATTAAATTAATTTTAAACGTCTTTCTTATTATTTCTAAATATGCTAGTAATGCTAAAAAAAAACATTCCTGTTTCGAATAGATGTGAAATTCGAAAATCATCGCCTGATCATAATTCTTTCCTTTGTACTTTTCGTACACGATATGTACCATATATATTGTAGATTCACACAGTCTAATGATTATAAAGGTTTGTTAATTTTTATACGTAAATAAACAAATTTTTATCTTTTAACACTAACACCCAGTCAAGGCTCTTAGCCCCTTTTATTCATTGACTATAAAGGTGTCTAATAACTTTAACCAAGTATACGTATATAAAATTGATTATTATCGTCGTTACAATATTATACTACGTGTTGAAAATTTACTTATCCCCCTGCAAGTATTGTGCAAAAAGTAGCATAAAAATAGATAGCACGAGATAAAAAAATGGCGATCTCAATCTAGAGCAGAGCTTGTTTATTCGCGTCGAGGTGGCTTCTCCGAGAAACTCCCGGTTGCGCCTGGAGATTAAAGCAAATATTCGGATAATCCCGCGGGGCACCAGATATGCCGCAGCATTAAAGGGGCAATTTGAATTCAGTCGGCATGAAACCGCCCGCCGTCGAGCCCGCTTTTTCCCGCTCGCATCGCGGCCGGGCGAACCGTAGCGCTTGCACCGGGCTGTTTTTTCCCGTTTGAAGACAAATAAATATGCAGATATTGCTGCGGGATAAAGATACAACCACGGTGCAAAGCCGACTGTATCTTTAATATCCCAAGAAGCGGCCTTTGATTTTTCGTATGTAAAGAGAAGCGCTACTGTTTTAATAATCGATCTCTCTACGTGTGTTCGTCAATTTTACGCGCGAATACTGGGAGTAACTTCGTTAAGGGGATACCGGAGTGATTCTGCACCTTTTGCACTTTTTGCATCTAGAGCTGTAAATTCATGAAAATATTTGTGTAATATGCAAATTATGTGGCTTTCGTGTACAGACAGTGCTCCACTATTCGGACTAAATCAGAGAACAGCACGGTATCGTTGAAATTAAGTTTAGAAACCTAACCTAACAAAAAATCCATTCGCTCGAATAAGTCAGCTAACCTATAACTTATTCGTGAATCGACCGTTTGTTAGGCTTCTAAACTTAATTTTAATGATGCCACGCTGTTCTCTGATATAGTGGAACACTGTCGGTCTAAAGCCACGTAACTCGTATGTTATACGCAAATGTTTTCATGAATTGACAGCTCTAGGAGAAAAAGGTGCAGAAAGTGCACAACTATTCCAGCGTCCCCTTGACGAAGTTGCTCCAAGTATTCGCGCGTAAAATTGACGAACATACGCAGAGAGATCGATTATTAAGACAGTAGCGTCCCCTTAATTCACAACCGAGACCGAAGAGAATCTCTCGTCCTTTTCCCGCGGTGTGGAATTTTAACACCGCACTCTCAATCCAACGTTTTCGAAGCGCGGTGCGCCGCATTCATAACACACACGCGATAAACGAGAAGGGGAGATAAGACCGGCAGCGTACGTTTCGGGGGTGAGTTTTACGAGCTCCTGTTTTATGAGACTGATGAATAAGTTACGGGCCGATCGCCGGTAAAAGTCCGGCTGATGGGGAAGAGCCGCGGATCAAAAATTCATTTCCGCACCTCTCGACGCGCGGAAATCGCGGGGATTCGCCCGCGTTTATTTCCATCCGGCCGGGACGGGGGGTTGGGGGTTGCGGGAGGCGCACGGTTGATTTGAATTTCAACGCGTCGCGCAGGCGGCTTTGAATAATTAATAGGATGCCGTAATTATTATTTCGATCGGGATCTCGCGACGGTGAGGCGGCGACGAAAAATACGGTTACTTCCGCGACGGTCTCTCGCGGAGAGGCGGTTATTAAAACGCGCACGGCTCGAAATCTTCGGCCGTCCTCGTCGCGTAAATCACAGGCGGCGAAATAAAATCGCGGGTTCCACGCTGCGATTTTATTTCGTTGCTTGATTGATAGCCAACGGGATTGTCCTCGCGTTTATATTAAAGCGCCGAGCGCTCCGTCTTGAACGTCTAGAATTATTACAGGAAAAATCGGTGAAGTTAAAAATATAAATATCTTGAGGGGGGGGCAGTAAATAAATTAAAGCGCTATATTCTTCCTTTATATGAGATCAGTTCGATGTGACACGAAATGTAAATCGATTTTGTTGAACAACAGTACACGCAGAAAATTAAGGGAACTCGATAACTTACGTGGCTGAGGCGAGAGAGAGTTGTCCGTCGCTATTGGAGGGGGCGGCGGGGGGATGATTCCAGTTTCCGTCTTGGAGACCAGAAGTACGACGCGATCTTGGGTCGCCTTCAGGGTCGCCACTGCCTCTTCGTGTGTCACATTCTCCAGATTTTTATCGCCCTGCTGGAACCAGTACGCATTCTTTTACGATCATGGGTATTTAACATTGCCTCGTCGGCGGTCAATTATTTGAAACCTTGCCAAAGCACTTGATTCTCCGCGGGTCAAAATTTAATACGTCATGTCGTCCACGACGTATACAGAATGAGCCGCTGCTCCAAGAAACCGTTGCTCGCTTCCACGCGTAAAATTGTTACAGGAATCGTCGAATAAGACACAAATGTAATATGAATGAGATACATTTTTACGATTACGTCCTACATTAATTTCGCGCACGTTATTTGTTCCTCACGCGGGCATTGCTCTCTGGGAACTGTCCCCCCTTTCCTGTCTGTTTATCAAGCAACGAATCCTTTTCTCCCTTAAGAGAAGCGACTGTTTCTGAAACACGAACTTGCCGCATAGTTGCGACGCACACAAATCGACCCGATCACGATGTCACGAGAGCCTTCGATAATTGATTTTCCCCATTCAATTTCCCCGTGTCTCCTGTCAACCGTGGTCTCCTCCCGTCTCCTTCCGTTCCCTCCCTTGTTCGCCTGCCGCGATTGTCTTCCTTAAAGCACTAACAGGCAATCGGTGGCGATTATTATCGAACTGACGCGCACAGGGAGACCGGGCGTGGAAGCGGCAACACGATGCACCCCCCAGTGGACCCTTAATCCGCTCATGAATGCTTGCGTCGTTTTAAATTAAACAGCAACAAATATAATATACCCTAATTGTGATAGAATTTCATTTCCATCAGACCCATGTAACGAACGAAGAAATTGGAATAAGTGTGCAGCCATTGAAGCTTTCTTTCTTTATTTTAATGTACGGCGCTGCACAAAATCTCAAATAATTAATAAAGTCAACGTAATTGCCACAACTTACGGCATTTTCCACGAAGAAAATATATCCCCTTTCTAAAAAAGAGACGTTACCAGCGCGAATGTCGTTAATATCGAACAGTTGAGGCCTCTTTTCCGCGATGCCAATTGCTTTTCTCGAAGCGCGGTGTGTCTCACTTCTCTGTTAGATTTATAGTAAATGAAGATTTGCAATTTAGAAATACACATTTGTATACACCGACTATTGAGGTAAAATCTCTAATCTTAGTAATTAGAATTTAAGCAACAACGATTTTTGTTTCGAAACATCTTCTCGATTGAACGGAATTAATTGTTAATTTAATCAATACCAATAAGTCCGCGGAACGATACGCAAAACGTAGCAACAGTCACGAAACGATGTAATGTAAAAAACTTACACGGTCGGTCTCGCGCGCGCGGTTCTAGTTTTTACTTATACTTGGCGTGAGACACTACCGTGTCTCGTGATATCAAGTACAGAATGTTCGCTTTCGTAGGCGGGACAACGAATTCTCAACGTTTTTTTTTTGTTGTTTCTCACTCGGCGCGTCATCGTACGACGTTACGCGGGCCGTTGTTTACCTGAAGGTCGTCGCGCTATCATTCGCTCGCCGAACGTCGAGCCGGCAGGCAGCAGCGAGAGTCGCTCCGTGCGTCGTATTACTCTCGCGTTATCGGTTTCCAAAACGCGATCGCGGTGAGTGCGAGGATAAAACGTTATTGATTTGCACACGTTTATTAGCAACAAGTAACGCGTTCGACTAATTACTAAGTTTCTACATATAGCTTTGTAATGGAAAATGATTTGCACGTTCAAGCGGCGGCTTTTATCAACGTAGATATTTCACGAGACTAATTCATCTAAAGTATGAACGTAAGCCGCGGTACTTTGTCGCGATTACATCTCGTTTACGCATCGCGCTTTTAATTATCTGTCGATTTCGTGTAATCTGTTCCATTTGCGGGAAAAGAGAGAAATTTGTGCGACTTCGGCGTTCGCGCTGTAATTCGCTCTGTCGTTCTTCGCAACTCGAACGGGCAGGAAGTGAATTTGTTAATAATATTTCGTGCGTTTCGCGGTAATTCACATCGCGTACGGGAGTGTCCGAAATTTCGCGCGATCGATGATTCTCGCGAGTGAGTGTTGGTGTGAGTGCAACAAGGAAATCTGAGAGGAGGACTCCAGGCCTAGAAGGCATCGGGCAACGGCAGAGAAATCGTAAGGTAAGTGTTTTACATTTTTATGTTATTTGCTACTTGTGCAAAATAAAGCATCCGTTCTGTGTTTTTATTTTATTCGTTCAAATGACTCGAACGGGGATTCGAATAAGTGTTAGAGACAAAACCATACGTATAAAATTTTCTGAGTTTATATTTAAAAGGTAGACTTTCACTATTCTATATAATTATTTTAATAAATATATATTTTTTAAATATAAAGTATGAAGTATATTTAACGCAATAATATCGATTTTACATTCGTCTATAATAATCATATGCATCTTTGTATTTTTACAGTTTAACGTATACAGTTAACGATGTACAAGTCTGGTGTTGCGAATCGTATCAGTGAGTGATAAATTACTTTTTATTTTAAATTGACGTTGCGCGTACAGTTGCTTCTTTGCATGTATACAAATTCTCAAAAATATACAATGCTCAACTACAAACTGCGCGCGCGCGTTTTGCCATTTCCAGTTAAAGTAAAAGATGCGCGTGTGTGTTACACGATAATTAAATAAATATAAGTTCGAGCAAATTTTTATATTTTTAAGCGGCGAGCTCGATTAAGAAAGCGCGGTTAAGAAAAATAGATTAGAGTGGTTTTCCAAAGCGTCGGCGATGTAATTGATAACCCTTCCGTCAGCGATATACAGCTCCGGTCGACGGCAAGTCGACCTTCGCTAGTCTACGATTTTTCGCTTCAGCGATTTCGCCACCTTTAGGGCCACCCATCTGGGAGGCGCGCCAAAAAAGCGCCGATTAAAGCCGAACGGCCGACTTGATTTATGACTGTCGCCGAAGGGTGTAAAGTGCGGGAATGCGCGCACACGATGGAAAAGCGCTTTCTCTTTCTCTCTTTGCGCGGCATAAAAGTGCGTTAAAAGGTTTGCTTTTGTTACTTTTCTAGGACGGTGGCTGGTAGCGGAAGCTAATCGAGCGTCAATTTTTCTTGCTTCTGAACTTATTTGCGCATTATTTATTACACAAATATGTCTTCCCTTCTATTTTTCACGAACTAAGACGGCGATATAACAAATAAGCAGAAAAATGAGGCGTTTAAATTCCTGAGACAAATCATCTTTAATTTTTAGCAGAAGCGAGATAGGGGGTTTAAAATTATGTTACTGCTTGAGACAAACTACTTAAAAAAACGAAAACTAAAAGAATTTTATACCGAAAGTTTAATCGAGTCGCGATTAATTTTCTTTCACGGAAGAGGAAGAAAACGAGAGACAGAAGCGTTTATTATCGTTGTAACATGGCTTCTAAAGAGGCGAAAAAGAGGGAGGGCGAGGGAGGAAACTCTTTAATTTTAAATTTTATAATTCGGCGGAAGAAACTCGTGGCACGTTGCTCGACGTTGTCAAAAACACTTTTGGCATTTTTAACAGCTCCATAGAAACGTGTGTCGCGAATTCCTTTCATCGGATTATAAAATTTCAAAATTTATAGTGGAGAAAGAACGGAGAGGGAGAAGAAAGAGAGAGCAAATCGAGACTCAATTAAATTTTCGGCGTGGAAATTTACTCGCAATCAGTTGTTTACGACAGTGTCCCGGAACTTTCTTGCCGTCTACGTTTTATTCCCCCGCGTGGCAAAGTAATTATCGATCGTACGGTAATTAGTTTCGGCGCGCGTAAGCCCGAAGTTTTCGGGAGTAATTATAAAACTCGAAATGGTTCCCCCTTTCCCCCTCCCTCCAGACTCGCTCTCCATCGTAGATGCCACGGCTCGGTTCTTTTCACGGCGATTTATACGTGCGTCCTCCGATCGCGAATTTTTTTTTCTCAACGCGGAATTCCAACGAACGTTCTTCCGTTTTTGTTTCGAGCAATATCCTGAGATCGATAGATAGAAAATTCACGGCGGGATATTCAGTCTCCGTCGGAGTGGCAGTCAAAAGTTTCATCTCCACTCCCGCTATTTCTTGCGATCCCGCGAAACCTGTCACGGGTTTCGTCTATCGTTACTATAAAATTTTAAAGCTCATAAGGACGAGATCTCTTTTGCGAGATCGGCATTTGATTAAACTTTCGGCATGAAAATTTTCTCAGTTTACGATGTGCCGAAACTTGCTCGCAGTTTACGTTCCACTCGTGTAACAGAGCGTAATATTGCCCTCCACTTAACATACTACGCCGACTCTTTGAACGGAAATTTTACACATGACGCAGGTGTCGGTGTAAAGTAGTCAATCGCATTTTCAAAATTACCGCGGGATAGGAAAATTGGTCAATTATGCAGGAGATTATACAATTTACTTGAACCTTTGTAAAGAAAAGGAAAGGGGGGAAAGAAAGATTGTCGCGCGAAAGGGCAGTTTTGATTTTATTGTTCGAAACATGGTCGCAACTTCACTTTTCTATGAACACGTGGCATTTTTCGATTGCAAAAAAATCACGTTTCTCGACGCGTAGACGAGTTTACAACGTTTCACCCTCGAAACGTTTATTGTACGATATGACGTGCAATCCAACACGTGTCTTGTATTTATAGTAGTAATATGACCTGGAAGAAGGGAAGGGGGGAATAGGGGAAGAGAAAGAGAGAGAGAGAGAGACAAATATGAATAGCCTGTCGACTATTGCGCCGGTATTTCGGCGAGACAAACACGTACACGAGAGCAAGCCTGGTATGTACGTTTACTTACCAAAGCGTTCCTGACGGCTACCAGTTTATCGCCGACGACGAGGCGGCCGTCCACCTGGGCGGCCCCACCGTCCATGATTTTCGTCACGTAGATTCCATTGTCACCTGGTATATGTTGATTGCCGATACCGCCGGCGATGCTGAAGCCAAGGCCCTTGTTACCCTTGATCAGCTCGATCTCCATCAACTGCGTGTGTTTCCGTCGGCGCACGTACTGAAAATCGATGTGCGAACATGACGTTAATTGAGCGTGGGTGCGGAGGCTGCGGGAAAGGCAGGGGAGGGGCATCGCCGATTAACGAGTAAACTCCGTGAGGCTTCAAATTTTCAGCGACGTCGCTTTCGTCTGAGAAGCGTTTAAAAAGGGAAACTCCCGGGGGCGCGTGCGCGCTCTTGCGTTGACGGTATAACAATGAATCTCCGTGTAATTAAATGCCGGCCCGATAGCCGATCGAAGAGATATATCCCGTTTCAAACTCCACTCTCGTTTACTCAGTGAGATTTATAAAGTGGATTTGTTCCCGTTCGGCGCCCCGTTCTCCTTAAAAGCCCGTTTATATCGCCGGTAAGGTGGCTCGGTACCGTTAATTAAACTCCGCGCGGGGAAAACGTTGGCAGATGTTTCGATTGCCGATTGATACGTTTTATCATGACGTAAACATTTAAAATATTGGACTGAAATTGCAAAGAACACCTTTTTTATGATTACTGATCCTACTGATCCCCTATCGCACAATTATATTTATGTAAGTAAGAATTTAATGACGCGTTGGACGGATTATCTTTCCCAAAAATCAGAAAATTAAAATTGGACAGAACGTGAATTTTAATCGACACGTAATTGTAAAGAGAAATTTGAAAAATTCACGAAATTATAGTTTAAAGTATTGTTTATTATGATTAGGATTTGAATTTGATAAAATTGTAAAGCGAGGGACAAACCGCTGAGGGCATTGTGGTGTACAGATTTTGGACATTACTAGGCATTACTAGACATTTTTTGGGCATTAGTGGGTGTTACTTGGCCTTGCTGAGGCATTACAAAGAATCTAAAAGGATAAAAAAGATAAAACAAGATAAAAATGATAGTAAAACCAAATGCTCAAAATACCAGAACGAGCTGGATAAAACTGGCTTTAAGTCTAATACACGAGAAAGAAGAAGAAGATAAAATAAGATAAATAAGATAAAGTAATGCCTGCCGGGCATTAGTAGGCATTGGCGTACATAGTTTTGGTCAGCGGTTTACCCCTCAATATTAAGCTTGAAAGGTTAAGTGCGGCGTTGTCACATTCCGTTGTCAATACTGATAATCATTATGGTTTTTTCATAATAATTGCAAAACGAGTTATAGTTTTTCGATAACTAGTAACTAATTTAATAGTTACATTAATAGTTACTTTATATATTTGTTAAACCTCCACAGATCGCGTTAGGCTTTTCCTTTGCGCACAAACGCCTTTATTGGCATTTTACAATTCAAATGCAGATTTGATATTTTTATTTTTATTGCAAGAAAGTAACTGCAAAGTAACGATTCGTTACTTTTTGAGTAACTGTAACTGTAACACGTTAGAATTGGTAACTTGTAACCGTAACTAATTACATTTTTAACGAAAAACTGTAACTGTAACTAGATACTTTTATAAAGTAACTTTCTCAACCCTGCATATATATATATATATATATAATTTCGATTGCGCAAGCATTTCTAAATTGTATTAATTTAGAATTGTAATTACAACGAATCAAATGTAATAGAATACAACGATCCAATTCGGACGAAATTTTGCGTTTGACGCAGTACTTGAGTCAATCTCGAGGTAAATTTAATTGCGAGTCATCCATAAATCGAGAATTGCAAATCAAATTTGCTTACGACGGCCGTATTTCTGTTCTAAAGATGCGTTTATGCGCAACGAGGGTTAGTTGCGACTTTATGTCGGAATAATATCTAGAATGGCCCGGTCGTAAACGCTTTTACGCCTTCCTCATCGTCATTTCTAGCCACTGGGAGAGTTAATAACGCGCGGACGTTGGCTCACGCGACCTCTCAAAAATCTCCGGCGGTCATCGACAAAGTTGTTGCTTCTGAAATCATTTACGATCGATATCTTCGATTTTCATTCGTCGAACCAACATTAGCTTTCTTCCGTCGAAAATGGAGCTACGGTAATCCGCTTGGGGAATTTTTTTTTTCGGATGGTGACATTAACGTATATCCGAGAGGCATGTAACGAACGATCCCATCGAAACTTTCCCTCATCCCTCGGCGACTTTGCCAGGCTACAGGAATCTCAAAAGGCCCGGGTGAGCGATCGTCGCTTCGGGACTTTTCTCAGGTATAAGCCGAAGATATTCGACGCGTCTTTATGACAAATATAGAATCCGGGGAAGGCCGTCAATCCCGCGGAACTTTCTGGGACTTGAAATGCTGTCATAAAGTTGAAAAAAATCGCGAAAACTTCGACAAATGGTAAACTTCGAGGAGACCAGCACGACGGGGAACAAAGTATAATAACGACGCGCGAAAGCGATTAAAACCGATATCGGGTTAGCTAACGAGCCCAGACGAACGATGAACAAGGTATCCTTTGTTATCCGACGAATTGAAATGCATTTATTGAGTAGACAGTGATAATATACCGATAACGCGCGACATTGCCTAATATACAATTAATTAACCACTCGGTAACCATCGGCAGGTAGCTGAGAAATTGAATATGTATACGCGGGGTGAGTTTAACAGTAGAAAGCGCACGCATTACAGCATCTGCAATTCAATTATTCCCGACACATTCGTCGCGCAATTAAATCTGCGCACTTGAGATGTGCATATGATATGGCATGTGATCACAGTAACAATGTGCTGCCATTGCGCCGCGCGTACGATTCAATTAAATTCGGATTGGAGATTTGCATACGTCAGTTTGCACAAGGTACCGCGCGCAGCATCTTTAATGCGACAGTTAACGTCGATCATCAGTTACTTATATTCTCCCTCTCGATTTTAATCCGGATATCGCCACTTGCGGACGGACTGATTCGGGTAACATGTCTCGTTTTTCATAGACAACGCGAAAGTACTCATATTTTCTCAAACAATTGGTAGGGCGAGTCGGCACAAGCGTTTGACAGAGAAGTCAAGGTACAAATTTATTCTTTCCTTCGTTTCCCCTCTGCCTTCGTCAGTTTTTTACACTGAGAAAATTATTAAATATAATCGGATATCACTTAATTCTTAAAATCTAGTTTCGCTCGGTTATTGTCTCACTGATTTACTCTGCAGATGCAAACACGAGCCTTCTTTATTAACCCCTTGAAGCATACATTTTTCCATTGAACCATTTTTTGTGAAACTTTGTACACAAGGGTTTGTGGGGTCGCTGATTATGAATTCGTTATCAGCGTTTCATAATTCAAAATGACGGATTCAAGATGGTGGAATTCAAAACTTGAAAGAGTAACATCATTCAACTGTAATCCAACTATGCTAAGATTTTATTTAGCATTATTTAGATATTGTTAGGACCCATGGAATCTAAATTCCAGTAGAAAATTCTTGTAGAATATAAAACATGGCGGATGCAAAATTGAAACTTGATCGTTTCTTAGAATTTACTCATTCTTGGCACTATCCAGAGCTAACGACGCGGACGTGACGAGTCCCTAAATACCGTAATCAAACGAAAATGCTGAAAAACTTAAAAATTCACGTACTTTGCATCCGCCATTTTCCATTCAGATTCGTAATGAGCGATCCCGAAAACCCCTTTGTACAAAGTTTTCAAGAAATAATCTCAAAAAATTTGGTCAGTAATGAATTTATCCGAAAAAATTACTGTCATATTCATTTGTTTATTTATAGAACTTTTACAATAAATATTAAAGACTGCTCAACTCTTTTTTTATGTTCTTTTATCGCTAAGATACATAAAAAAATGCAACAAACCTAAATGCGTTAACTAGAAATTAAATGACCAGAATGTAAAGTGGAGATGGCAACGTGGGTTACCACCAGGCTTCAAAGGGTTGACTTATTAAAAGAAAATGTTACCCCACCAACGCAAGAGGATGCGCATTGTATCGAACCGTCTCTCGATATTGAACGCTCGCCAACGCGATAAAGCGTACCGCCGCGACGAGGACCAAGTAACGTGTACGCGCGCCCGTATCGGTGCACCGAGGTTCGCAGGGCGGAGGGCAAGGCTTACCAGTTTGACGGTGTTGCCGGCCCGCTTGAGAGCGTCCACGGCGGCCGCATGCGGTACGTCGACAACGGACACGTCGTTCACCTGCAGTATCGTGTCGTTGACACGCAGCCGGCCGTCCGCGGACGCGGCGCCGCCCGGTATGAGCTTAGTGATGTAAATGGCGGTGTCGTTGCCGTAATGGGGATTGTCCGTGCCGCCGGCGATACTGAAACCTAGGCCCGCCCCGCCCCGCTCCAAAATGATGTCCTCGTAGTCCCACTCATCGTCGCCGTTCACCTGAAAGCACAAGCACGCGCGCGCTTAGTATTGTCTTCTTTCTCTCTCGTCTTCGCGACTTTCTACAATACTATATAAATATGATACACATTCAACTCCACTGTCCATTTTTATCGATGTACTCGTAGATTAATCTCGTTTTAACTTGCTTCCCCATCTTTTGTTTTAACGCTCGGGCCCGGTTTCACCAAACGTCGGTTAACTTTAGTCTTAGTTTAATTCACGTTTGCCTCTTTCTGGAGTGACAGTTGGAAGGAGACGAGGAACGAATTAAGCTAAGCTTAAAGTTAAGCGACGTTGGTGAAACCGGGCCTTAGAAGTGGAAAAGGAACGGAAGTAAGTTAAACCGAGATTAGAGTTAATCATCGGCAGAAATGGACAGCGGGGAGTTTTAAGTTTCTAAAACGGATTTATAGAATTAGCAAAGAGTTACGCGGGATAAGTGCGAGCGTCACGGAGATTGACTGGACTCAGAACTTGCTGAACTCGTGGAAAGATAGGATACTTGTTGCGAGAGGGTATTCCGGGGTTAACGACGACGTCGTGCGAGATGATGCGAAACCCACAATTTTAATTGCGCGGCAGACCCAAAGGTTCCGCACGCCAGAGGAGGGTTAAGCGGTTAATTGATTCTGAGACCTCACGTGAGAGCAGATTAGGTCGTGCAGCGCTCCGATCGATGCGACAAAGGAGCGTCGTTTAAGCTCGCGCGACGCCAGCTGACGCCGTAGATCAAAATCCCATATTCCTCAACTTCTTTCCCGGAGAACGCGTTTCGTTGGCGTCGCGCGATGGGAAGTGTCTGACCATAGACATAGTAAATATAGACTGAGCGTTGCATTGAATAAGCTGAAGCTTGTGGAGAGAGAGAGAGAGAGAGAGAGGGGGGGCACGATTTTTTTCTTTTATGATGGTGTAAGACAGAGAAAGAGAGTCTTAAACCTTCTCTCTCTTTCTTTCACAAGCTTCAGCTTATTCAATGGAACGCTTAGTCTATATTTACTATGTCTATGTATCTGACAAACACAGCACGACTTTTAAAAGAATTAGAATGATTTCTCAACGGCTACGTCAAATACGGAGGGTAAACCGCTGAGGGCATTGTGGTGTACAGATTCTAGGCATTACTAGGCATTGCTAGGCATTTTTTGGGCATTAGTTGGCGTCATTTGGCCTTGCTGGAGCATCATAAAGAATCTAAAAAGATAAAAGAGATAAAATAAGATAAAGTAATGCCCACTGGGCATTAGTAGGCATTGGTGTATGTGATTTTGGTCAGCGGTTTCCCCCTCGGGTTTACTCCTCGGTCAAATATTTCGCGACATTGATACCTCGACTGCGGGCGATCGGTTTACGGGAGACGCAAGCTCTGACAAATGGAGCCCCGAAGACGCTTATTTATTAGTTAATTCCATGCAAACTTTGTCTCGTTATAAGTTTTCAACGCACGTGGAAAATTCTGGGAGGCGTGGTTGTTCGGCTGGCAAAGAAGTTCGTTACCGGAACTCGAGCGTGCTAAAAGACCCCCTTCCCTCCCCCCCCCCCGTCGTCCAATTAACTTTGGGCAACGTCGGCGTGTGACAGTGTTTTAATATTCTATAATGACGGGATAATTAAAGAAGATCGGCCGCGTCAGTGTCGGCTGTTGTTGCGTTTTTATGTGTTGCGCAGAGAAAAAGTAAACTAAGCCAAAATAAATTTGAAAAAGTTAAAACTAAATTGTATCATCGCAGGCAGAAAAAAATAGGGGAGAATAATTTTTTTTTTCAAAATCCTCCGTGTGGATTCACATGCGCGAGAATGTATCGCGAGGAACTTCCTCGCGTATTGCAAATAATAGTTGGATGTTACGACCTCGCGCCTCGTTAAAAAGTCGCTATCGTACGCGAGCTAATTACTTTAGCAGCAGGAAAAACTTATGCGCGAGTAATGTGATTTCCGAGCGATTGTATGCCTAATGAAATAGCACGGATTTCCTTTAGGGGAGCAGCCACCAAAGGTCCTTCACGTGCGTTATCGCGCAATGCAATTATGCATGATCCATTGGAGTGCAAAACCATTTTAATCGGATCAAAAGCCAACTAAGCCGTAGGATAATATGCTAGAGACACGTTCCCGCAGTACGACGCATTGCGTATCCCCGGATGTATCGGCGCGTTACACTCGCGTTCGTGTAATTACGATACACGTGCAATTACGGTACGGTTCAAAGCAACACGATTCGGCGAAATGCCTTGAGCTGAATAATGCAGATTGATAAGTTTATCCGACGAAATCGCGGTCGATATACAAGTTACATCGCGATCATATCACACGACTAACGTCTACCAATCTCTCGTTGTACCTCGCAGAGTGCAGCTGCGCGATGTTTCAACCGCGTTAAAAATTTTCCAATTATATCAACAGGTTAAAGGGTTCTATTCACGTCCATTAAGCTAGAATACCAAAAGTAATGCCCACTGGGCATTAGTGGGCATTGCTGTACAAAATTTTAGTCAGCGGTTTCCCCCTCGGTGTAAGGAGTTGCGCACCGAAATTTAACTAGTATATAGGTATTAAAAGTACATAATTAGCACTAAATTGTGGTATAAGTGTTGGTTTTATATTATTATTTTTTTAATGGGCATTCTAATTTTTCCGGAAGGTAGCGTAAAAGTGACTTTTTGCTAAACGGCTAGAGCACTAAAATCAGGATTAGAGCAATAAATTAGCACACAAAGAGCACTAAATCTTCCGTGCATCTCATATGATTGTGCTCAGTGCGACATTCTAGCTTAATAGACGTGTTCTACCCTCGCCCCGTGTGAATCTGACAACAAGGTCGTGAAACCACAAAACGGAAGGTAATAACGATCGATTCCTACCGAAACCGCCGACGTCGGTTCTGCCGGCCATCATGATTTTCGATAACGGCAAGTCGGAGACTTTTTAGGATGCATCTCGCCCGACGCGACCTAGGATTAAAGGCCTCGCGCAGCAGACACGCGAGCCGATATCATCATCGCAATTATCTATCCGCGCACATACCATTCCGATCGAGTTGCAACACAAACGGGTGGTACGGAAGGCGAAAGGATCCGTGCCTATACATTCTCTCTCTCCTCTCTCCGCCCTTCTCCCCCTCCCTCCCTCTCTCTCTCTCTCTTTCGCATGCACACAAATCGGGGAATGCACCCCTGGATGCATTCCGATCCGCCTGCAGCGGCCGCGCGTATCGAGACAATCCGCCGCGCGCAAATTTGACGCACGCAATGCGATGCTCGATGCATATTGCGGCGATCGCGAATTAATCGTACTGGAATTATGCTATTCTGTTAAGCCACCCTCCTGCTAGTCTCCTCTAAACCCGACACAGCATCGTTGCAGCAACGAGCCGTGGCATTCGTCAGCGACGCGCTCGCCGATACGAATCGTCGAGGGTGGCCCATCAACGATGCGCGCCGCGGCAATTATGTCCGCGCGAGAATTAGCCGGCGATTAGCGACGCGATTATGCGGCAGCGCTAATTAATCGTATAAAGCGAGGGGGCCGACGGCGCGCGCGGGGGTCCGCACTTTCACGTACCGCACAACGCAGCTGCGCGCTTATCGGACTTGTTTGACGACTCGTTACCACCGTCGATTAAGCGATCCACTTGTTTCGCGCTGCTGTATTCCGTGTACATCGTAATTCTGATTAATTCCAAAATTATCATCTACAGATGACAATAGATCGTATACGATCTCGACGGTGTTTAATTAATTGTTCGCCTCACGAGTTAAGACGGAATCTGTTTATGAAAGTGGGACTTTGTTTTTACGTAATATGCTAATGTAAAATCATTCCACATGTATTACTTTCCAATATTGCAAAGTGTGGTAACGTATGTGGAGTGATATACGAACTGAAAAAAGACATTTTGCTACTGCACCCAGAAAAAAGATTTATTCAGGTTAAACAAATGAGATACATACGTTGAAATCGTGTTTCTTTGAATCAACTAAATTATTGATTTAGTTTCGTACCAAAAAATTTGCTAGATTTGAAGAAATACTTAGATATGAATTTTTTTAGAGATTCCAATCTCAATGAAATAAAATTTTGATTAAAGCGAGGAAATAATTTCTTTGATATTAAATAAAAGTCTGGTAAAGTCAACATTCAAAGAAAATTTATTTGATTTTAAAGAAACTTTTTTTCTGATTGTGCAGCTAATCATGATTTGCTAAAAATGTTTTGCTGCCACAACTATAAATTTCTAAACCACAGCAAACAATTTACTGTCGCACCAGATACAATAGGCACAGTAGCAAAATATTTAGCTGTCACAGCTAAATATCAGCTGTCCACATTTTACAACTGCAATTTAGTTGCCAAATTTCTTTGAAATCAAACAAATTTTCTTTGAATTTTGATCTTACTAGACTTTTATTTCATTTCAAAGAAATAATTTCCTCGAGGGGAAACCGCTGAGGGCAATGTGGTGTACAGATTTGCGGCATTACTGGGCATTACTGAGCATTACTGGGTATTTTTGGGCATTAGACCTTTCTGGACTATTATAAAGATAAAATAAGATATTAAGATAAAGTAATGCCCACTGGGCATTGTGGTGTACAGATTTGCGGCATTACTGGGCATTACTAGGCATTTTTTGGGCATTAGTTTGGGCATTAGGCCTTGCTGGGGCATTGTAAACATAACACAAGATAAACTAAGATTAATAAGATAATAAGATAAAATGCCCATTGGACATTAGTGGGCATTGGTGTACAAGATTTTGGTCAGCGGTTTCCCCCTCGGATATTAATATTAATCCCGTCTTAGAGTCGGTAGAACTGAAGAATTAGACATTTCCTTTCTAAATTGATTAGACTCGCTCCTTCCTTGAGTGGCCCCGGAGCAACCGCACGACGGAAGTCGCGATAACGATAAACGAGCGCGTTCCGGAATCGCCAAAGGGTTTACGTTCGCCATAAATCACGTTGAACGTCCGCGCAAGTGTCCAACCAAGTGCGTCG